CCATATTTGTGGGATTTCAAGAGTTTTTGTGTTGCACAGTGTTAAAGCCGATATGTAGAGGTTCTCCGAAATAATAATTCTTTCCAATTGTTGCACCATTTGAGTAGCTTTGTTTGGGTCCAGAGCAGCTGATAATGTTGATCAAGCACTTTTTTTGCCAATTCCATTGATGATCTACTGTTTCTGATATCCTCCTGATGTTCTAGGATGTGAGAAATTAACATTCTCTGGTAGTGCTTCCTGCGGAGCCAGGTATGTAACACAATTTGTGTACCTCATAATAAATAAATAATAAATTAACATTCTGGCCGTGGTCCCTATGTAGCTGGTCTCTTCTACTGGCAGATCATGTTTTAGTGGAATTTGATAGACCCAGATTTTTCATTCAATTTAAAAATATCTCTTTGTTGCATAATAGTCTTCTTAGCGTTGGTTGTGTGGTTAATGGTAAAATAAAACCATTCATTCTAAAAAAGATGTACTATTTTTAGAGACGAGGCCTAAAAACGGTATCAGAGGATGTGCTATTTTTAGATCCTCTTTGTTATAAAGAAAAGACTGAATTATCATTCTATTTCAAATTCATATTGGTATTCTATCCACGTGCTTCGTATATTTTCATAAGTTGTTCGAAAGCTCAGAATTTGAAAACTGTTGTATTCAATATTCACCTGACGATGCTAGATTTATGCTATTGAAAGTGCTTGTGAACTCATTTATACTTCAAATTCACCGTTGGTAATGCCACAACAAGTAAGTGCAATTACGTTATAAAGTGTAGACGTGAAGTGTACATTACTTTTATTATGGAAACTAATGGAAAATACTTCTTTTTTTATTGAATACAAGAGTTGCATGGTTAAAGCTAAAAGCACAACTGTGGTTCTTACTAAAGTGTTGCAAGAAGAGTCTCATACCCAAATGCAGTGCTCTCAAGTATGACTCGTTTCCTACAGAGATTTGAACCCTTTTATCAAGAATTGAACGAAGTCTTCTAGCTAAATAAATTAACAACAAATGTAAAGCCATAGCGGAAAAAGAAAAACAGTTGTACCTGGCCCACTTATGCTTCAATAAACAGTGTGATGTAGTAACTCTACACCAACAATTGAGTAAAATAAGAGTCATTGCCAACAAAAAAGTGTGTAATCAGGAAGAAACTGAACAAAAAATTCCATTGGCTACAGGGTACTTCCCACCAAAAACAAACCAGAATAATAGAAGTTCCATATTATAACTTCACAAATTCCAAGATACCAGACAACATTCATCAAACACTAATATGGGGGCCAAAACATATACCGGCACAAAAGCTTGACTATTCACAACTTATTCCTTCCACCATGGCGGCCATTAAGAACATCTGCAGTCCAGAGTTATAATTTAAGGAATTTGCTGTATGGGATGGTTGTGCCTTATTCAGCTGCAAGAAATACATTTCAAGAGGATGAATATAACATAAGAAGACTAAATATGACAAGAAAAGAAGTTTGGGTTTGCCCCTGCAGTGGTCCTTGGTGGAGGATGATGTGTTGCAGTTCTGCAAGGATTTCCCATACATGTTCTATGGCAGTGGCGTGCCGTCATTAGAAGCGTTGGAAGCGCCGCTTCCCTCGTATTCTCTAAAAAATAAATAAATATTAATTTTAATTATATGAAAATAATCGCACAATATTTTATTATAACCGCATTATGTATCTTATTACAAATTTCTATACTACACGGGGAAAAAAAAATTGCTATTGTATATTAGAATATTAGTGGCGGAGTGTAATCTCCTGTATTTTCAGATTACGAAAAGCCAGATTTGCGCATGCGCTTTACAGAACACCAACCTCACCCGGTTTAGCCGGTGGAAGCCTACGACCTTGGGTGAAAGCTGCACACATATAAAGATTACAATTCTATCAAGGACCGGTTCTGGGCTGTTAGCCGCCTGCCCACTAGATATTTCGATTACGTGAATAACGAGTAGATTTATAACTTAACCCAACCGATAAGAATTTACTGGTATGTTTTTACGATAGTTCTGTATAGTTGACAGGAGTTAAAAAAATCCATTAAAATATTTGATATATTTATTCCGCTTTCCGATTTTATATTACTCACGGATTTCGATGTTAAACCAGTGATATTACGATTTCGTACATCCCATCTTTAAGGGGATGTAGAAAAAAACGTATACAATTCTTGTATAATGTTAAAAAATTAACCGTTACTTCGACAGCGTCATTTACAACTAAATTTAATGAATGAGAGAGATGCACAAGATACAGAAAAAGCTCTAGAATGTATTTTCCTTAAATTTACGATTTATGTATCCGTTTGTCATAAAAATTTGTCTTTCCACTTTTTTCCCGAGACTACAAATATTCGAGTACAAAATAACTGGTTTTGACTTATTTCTACTTAAGAATTAGTTAAATAATTAAGCGATTAGGGAATTGGGGACATAAACAAAACCCCGATGAAAGAGCCGGAATATTACTTAAACAAAAGCTTAACCGACCCAATCTATAGCCGAGTACAGTGGGGACTGATTTCTTTGAAATACTGTATTAGATGTAATAAAGACAGAAATTTTTCCAGTTCGACGAGAGTGACCGAAAAGTTGTAAATTTTGGAAATTTCCGTGGACAACACCTGGTCCTAAAACGAATTAGTTAGAAAACAAATGACTATTATGTTTAACATACGAGTATTTAGATTTTTACAGCTATGGTGAGAAACGTTTAAAATCTACAACAGCCCTGTCGCGTCCTTTCAGATATACTAATGATGCGACAAAAGAGGTATTTGAATTGACCGGTATCGGCACCCTGGGGATTTGGCAGTGCGTGCATGCACGCTCTGCAACCGTCTTCGATTCCATTCATTAGCCACTCGTAGGGAGCTACTTGACTAAGTGCATTGTTTTAAGATTTAAAAAGTAAAGAATATTTTATATTTTTATGTACGTTTCTTTGCAAAGCTATATTTAATTATAATTTTCTTTAAAGTATATTCATATAATTGAAGAATATTTTGTATGTACCGGTACATCCACCACATATTTTATTTCACCGAGTAAGTTTTTATTATTTTATTTTTAATTGTAGCCCTTATATCGTGGCTAGCGATTCGGAATGTAATTGTGATATTAAAAATGCATTTAGAGAAGTCTACGGTTTTTACTGGCTTATCGAATAAACGATAAGAATGGACCCTAGACCGTCACTGACGCGCAATTGACTGATTGCCCCTGGATGTCGGCTTCTTACAGAAACACAGCTTCCCTGTAGTCAAATGTCACGGCACGCCCCTGTTCTATGGGGTTTAAGTGAATAGGGTTGTCAGTCTAGATACCCTATATCCTCTATTTCTAGGTATTCTTGAACCAAGCTAGACCTGTGCGGTAAGCATTATTGTTCATTAAAATGAACCCAGGACTAAATGCACCTCTAAAAATCTGCACATACTACTGCAGGATGACATCCCTATAAATCTAGCCTGTTACTTTATCACATTTGAGCACATTCAGCGGCATACAAGACCCTAACTTATCATCCAAAACAAGGATGCCTTTATCTCCAGAACAATGACATTTGATGATGATAGCAGGATTATAACATTTCCTTGGGGCTCCCCAGATATATACTTGTTGACTATCAGTTTCTATGCTGTAATGGGACTCATCAGTAAAGAGTATAGTGGCTCATTGTTTTGAGGTCCATGCAAGGCATTCACTACAACATGTTTGCAGTTTAACGTTTTAAGATGTGATGTGCAATTAAAAGAATGCATACAGACTTATGTCATGTAGCCATCTGTATATCATTTACCTGGCTACAATGTTACCTGATACTGTTGAGAGGTGTCTAAGCAGTTCACTTTCTGTGCTGGTGGGGTGGCATTGAGGATTTATGGCCACTTAATAGTCTCAACATGCAGTTCTGACATGGGTGACTTTCACTGTATTGCCTTAACATCTTGGCCATGTTGGAACTGCTGCTAAAGCCTACAGATAACACTTGATGGAACATTCACTTCCTGTGGCACTTGTCTCTGGGTTTGGCCAGTCTCTAACCTCCCAATAATTCTGCCATGCATAATATTTTCAATATGTCTTCTTTGAGCCATAATTACTGCTTACAAATTATTATTTTCAGTTATAAGGCTATAATAACATTTACACATTTTTAATGACCTCTTACAATGCTAGTTACTCAAACTGACAGAAAATGCTTTTACACTAATTTCTTTATCAGTAAATTTGCATAAAACCTACATCACTCCCTTCAGAAGTTGTCATACAGCATCTCTACTTGAATTTTGTTCTTTTACAGCAGCAGCAGCAGCAAATACTAGTGAACTAGTGTACTAGTGAATTTTTTAAATTACAGACACGAGTGTAATTTATTGGAGACTATCCTATTGTCCTTTCTTCTCATATTAGTGCTACTTTTTAAAAAATATCCCACTGTTAAAGGTGCATTAAGTAATTCAGCTTGTAGTGGCATGTATAATACATTACCATCATTATAAATATGAACCATTATAATATAGTACATTACCATCATTATAAATATGAACCATTTAATACTGAAATAAACTGAAAAATACTTTTTTGTTGAAATATTATATAGTTTTTCATTTACAAGTTTACAAAAAAGAGAATAATCAGAAAAGTTAAATGCCATTTTAATATGTTGATAATTGAACATTAGATTAATTTTATAATTTAATATTATATATTTGTCATAATAAAAATGTCCTATATTATAACTACAGTGAATTAATAATGAATTGATCAATTTATTATTAAAATAAATACAAAGCATTTAATGGTAAGACAACTTATTCATAATTATTTGATTTTTTATGAAGTATTATTGTTTATTTTAAATAAAAATCGAAATTATTTTGTTTATTAATGTATATTTCCCATTCTTTTTTAACTAATAATTACATTTGTTTTTACGTAATAGATAACAAGTAATATTTAAATATCTTAATAATAGTTAGCTGGTCGTGAAATGAATAATCCTAGTTATCATCCTGTTTTACCATGGATCATGGATTTTACTGTACCTGAAGGAGGTTGGCGAGATCTTTCAAAATCAAAATACCGTCTAAATAAGGGTGATAGACAACTTGATTTGGTTTATGAGTCAGCTGCAAATGGTTCCAATGCTTCTTCTACATCGGGAATTTTTATTCCTTTAGACAGTGCAATTCAAGTGAGTTTGAGAAGTAAATTATATATCTACCTTTAAATTTATAAAAATAAAGAACATTTTACAAATTGAGTTAAAAATAAACAGCACAGAATTAGGAAAGAAATTTTCATAACTTTGTTTTTAAGTCTTCATTTTGTACTCAACATAGCAGTTCATAAATTGAGTATAAAAAAAAGCATCCTTCTAAATATTCATAAAAATCGGTTATCATGAAAAATTAAAAATCAAAATAATTTTTAAAAAATAATTTAAATTTATTAGAAAAATTACAATTAAATTAATTACATCAAACATTTAAACAAAAATGATCATCTTTTTTTAAGTACTTATATTTTTATATAGCTGAAAAATTTTTTCTCTGTTATGGTCAAATCACTTCTACTTATGTTGTAGACAAAAACAACAGCTGCATTTAACTGAGACCAAACTTTAATTAAACAAAGTGTACATTATACTTTAGTCCTATGTCCAAAGTGTACATTATACTAATAAGTATCATCTTATTAGTATAATGTGTCTGCCAGCGAACACAGCCTTGGATATCTGATGACTGCCTCGACTTGGTGGCCAAACGAAAACAAGCGAAGTTGACCAACTATGGACAATATCGCCAGCTTAATCATGAGGTTTGACAGAAAATGAAGATCGATCGAGAGCAGTACTGGAACAAAGTGGCCACTGACCTGGAAGCAGCAGCGTCCAAACATGAGTACCGTACCCTCTTCAGCACTCTCAGAAAGCTGAGCGGAAAGTCCAACGTAACAAATAATACCATAAAGAAAGTAGATGGAACATTCATAAAATCGTCAACAGAACGACTGCAACGTTGGAAGGAGTTCTTTAATAATCTGTACAATCATGACTGTCCTCAGGGAGTGTTAGCAGACCCACCGCTGATTGACCAGCCCACAACACCTATGTCAAACGCAGAGCCTACAATTGCAGAAGTGAAGGCAGCCATTGGATCGCTGAAGATTGGCAAAGCTGCTGGACTAGATCTGATCACTACAGAAGCGATCAAGGCTGGTGGTGACATCCTGCACCATCGTCTTTATCTACTCATTAAAACAATATGGCACACAGAACAAATACCAGCCATATGGAAGAAAGCTATCATCGTGCCAATCCACAAGAAAGGCGATAGCCGGGATTGCAGTAATTATCGCGGTATCAGTCTCCTTTCCATCGTTGGCAAAGTATTTATGAAGATAATTCAATCAAGGTTACAAAAACACCGTGAAGAAACCAGCCGAGAAGAACAGGCAGGGTTTCGTCCTGGTCGTGGTTGCTGCGATCAAATCTTTGCCCTGCGTCAGCTTATAGAGGAAAGGACCAGATGCGGCAAACGGACTGTTGTCCTGTTCATCGATTTTAAATCTGCATTTGACTGTGTGCACAGGCCTGCGCTATGGAGAGCACTTGAGAATGAGCACGTCCCACAAAAAGTTATCACACTACTTAAGGAAGCCTACAAAGATTCCATCAGTCAACTGCGAATTCGGGGGGAACTGTCTGAGGAGTTTACCACCCAGACAGGAGTTCGCCAGGGAGATGTGGTCTCTCCACTATTGTTTAATATTGTGGTGGATTCAGTTATGAGGAAGACATTTGATGGGAAACGTGGTGTCCAGTTTGGGAATGGCCACTTTCTAACTGATCTAATGTTTGCCGACAACAGTGCCGTCTTCGCTGACAATGATGTAGTGGCCACAGACACGCTTTATGATATGGCCACTATTGCTCAGTCATATGGTCTTAAAATTAATGTGGACAAAACAAAGTGCTTACAATGGATGGATCGCGGGCAACTGTTTACCTTTATGGAGTCCAGATTGAGCAGGTACAAGACCAGATTGAGCAGGTACAAGAGTTTAAATACTTACAAGTTTACAAAAAAGAGAATAATCAGAAAAGTTAAATGCCATTTTAATATGTTGATAATTGAACATTAGATTAATTTTATAATTTAATATTATATATTTGTCATAATAAAAATGTCCTATATTATAACTACAGTGAATTAATAATGAATTGATCAATTTATTATTAAAATAAATACAAAGCATTTAATGGTAAGACAACTTATTCATAATTATTTGATTTTTTATGAAGTATTATTGTTTATTTTAAATAAAAATCGAAATTATTTTGTTTATTAATGTATATTTCCCATTCTTTTTTAACTAATAATTACATTTGTTTTTACGTAATAGATAACAAGTAATATTTAAATATCTTAATAATAGTTAGCTGGTCGTGAAATGAATAATCCTAGTTATCATCCTGTTTTACCATGGATCATGGATTTTACTGTACCTGAAGGAGGTTGGCGAGATCTTTCAAAATCAAAATACCGTCTAAATAAGGGTGATAGACAACTTGATTTGGTTTATGAGTCAGCTGCAAATGGTTCCAATGCTTCTTCTACATCGGGAATTTTTATTCCTTTAGACAGTGCAATTCAAGTGAGTTTGAGAAGTAAATTATATATCTACCTTTAAATTTATAAAAATAAAGAACATTNATTTACCCGATTTGGCAGTTCCATGGTGGTGTAGTGGACCAGAGGATTTTATTAGAAAACACAGGATTGCATTGGAAAGTGATTATATTTCAGAACGTCTTCATCATTGGATTGATTTAACATTTGGATATAAGGTTAATAATTTTACAGTATTAACATAGCATGTGTTATTTTACAGATTTATTATTTTTTAGAATGTCATAAAATTGATCATATATTTCTTTATTTATTTAATTTATATGCTGTAATTAAATGTGACACAATTTTTATTATACTGTATTTAATTATTTAATTTAATTATTAAATAGTGTCATTATTTTAGCTTAATGTAATCTGGCAATTTTTTGGCATTGATCAAAAAATCAGTTTAATGGATGTTTATATTTGTAGGTTTTTTAACAATTTCATTGTCAGTTTTAGACTGAAAAGATAGTTATCTAAATATTTATAATTGAAAAGCAGTGTTTAGGTTCATTTTAAACTTAAAATATTATATTTTATATTGAAAAAATTTCAATATGATGATCTAAATTTTTTTAAGTCTAAAATTTTTTTGGCTTTTTTTTAGTAACTTACATCACATAAGGAACACAAGGATCACAAGAAACTTCTACTGTTTTACTGTCCATTTATAGTTAAAGTTAATTGATTCAAATAATAACATAATTTATAATGAAATATCTCATAATTTAATGAATCCTGTTAACTTTAAAAAAATTATTAAATAAATAGTTTTTTATTTGCTTGATAATTTTTTAAGTTAAAATTTAAATAGTAACTTATATGTCTATTGATATTCAATTATAAATTAGGAAATTTTATAAAAATAATTTCTCAAAATCCAGAACACAAGACATTTTGATTTTGAAATTTTATTGCATTAAATTTAAATTTTGAATTTTGAAATTATCTAGGAATTAACCATTGTCTATATATTATTTAGTTATCTGGAAGTGCTGCAATAAAATCAAAAAATGTGTGCCTTCCATTGGTTGATCAGCATACATCACTAATTAACAATGGAGTTGTTCAATTGTTCACTTATCCACATCCACATAAACTAAGTCCAAGTCTCTATCTTGGAAAAAATGCTCCTAAAATATTTAAAACAATCATTTGCTATTTATGAATAGAGAAACAAATGAAGAATTATGAATATATATATATTTAAAAAACATGAAGTAATAAAATATTGCAGTCAATTCTAATCTATGAAAATTGTGTTCTATTTTCAAAGTTGAAAGAGGTTGAGGTATAAAAGTAATGTCAGACTACTTTTTCTCAGAAATTTTACTATAACAATGCATTTTATATCAATTAGTCTTCAGTCATTAATAAACACACTGTTATTTATCTGCAAAGTCACCATCATTTTCTAAGCACTAGTCAGATGCTGCATTACAAGCCTATAAAAATCCATTATCTCTCTCTTTAGAGCTTTGCAAACACTGTGCTTGTGCTGTTTCTTATTCATGAAATAGATTCCGTGTAGTGTTTCTTTTAATAGTCCAAAAGAGCAATAGTTGGAAGGTGCAATATCTGGACTGTAGGAAGGTTAAAAAGAATAGTTCATTCCAGTTTTGCAATAACCTCTCTTGGGCACAGATTAGAATGGAGTTATGCATTATCATGGTGCAGAAAACTTCATTAAGGTTTTTGTCTGGTTGAATTCTACAGATGCAGGCTTTCAACCTTTAAAATATTTTCACATATAGATCTGAGTTGACTGTGGTGTCTTCATAAAGTTTACAAGTAAGACTCATGCTGGTCTCTGATCACAGTCACCATGACTTTATCAACAGAAGCCCATGTCTTGAACTTCTTGGACAGTGAATTTCAAATGGTGCCACTCCATTCACTGTCTCTTTATTTTAGGTGCATAATGGTAGATTTAAATTGGTTATCAGAAGAGATCTTCCTGTACTTACTTCATCACACAATTCAACAGTTGTGATGTAACTATAAATCGAACTCTGTCAATTAATTAAATTCTATCAAAAAGGACTTAAAGATCTATATTCACAAAGGGCAACATCTTTACATATTCCAAGGCTTTATTGTCTGTTTTTAGAGAATCATCCAAATATAACAATTTGCTTATAGCTTACAAACAGAGTATCATGATTTAAGAAATTATAATGATTTATTCCCTAATAATAGTCAATATTTACAGAGCAAAAGTTCAGAAAGACAAAAAAGGTGCCAGCTTCTGAGCCATGTTGCTAGATCTCAAAAAATTCTGATTTTTTTTTACTTTTCTTTTGCATTCCAAATTTAACACATTCAATGTATTAATGGTAAACAAAATTCTTTATTATATTCAAATTTTAACTGTTAGGAAAGCATTTAATAATAATAAAAAAATTATGTAATAGATTACATATTGTATATTAGTGTATCACAAATTATACAACAATTCCATTACAATAGTTTCCATTTATATACTATGTAACAACTTAAACAAATAATTTATATATTGTTTTATATTTCTTCAGTGTCTCTATTCTGAAGAAATATGGATTTGATTCAGCCATATATAATTAAAGACAACAAATAGACAAAGGTTTATTTACAGCTATAAGCAGACTTAGCTCAAAATACACATATAGTATCACTACACATGACTATAGTAACTGAGTAATTATAGTAACAATGTTAAACAACTATATAAAATGACAAAATGATGAGTTATTACATGTATATATTGTTTACTGTAATGTGTCTTGTCTTTATGAATATGATTTCTTTAAGTTATGAACTTAATGAAGGCTTAAAAAATATAAATGAGTAGTTCTACTAATTTTGTGATACTTTTCATTAGAGTTATTATTTTTAGTTTTTCTAAAATACAGGAAGAATATTTTTATTAAATAGATTTATATAGGCTTGTTATAAAATAAAATATTTAATTATAATGTTGAGATAAATACTATATTTGCAAATTAATTTTTAAAATATTTTTAGGTACCCCATCATGTTTCAGAAATTCTTTCAGATATTACGTATTATGTATATAAAGCAAGGAGATTGCCAGTTTCAGTTCTTTGTCAACATGTTCGTCGTAAATGGGTTCCTGCTGAATATCCTGCTTCTATACAGCGTCTTCAGGTCTGTAAATGTCACATTGTTTTATTGACTAATTGCTTTTTTTAAGCATTCATTTTGCAATAACTATTAATAAATATTTAATTATACATTACTTTTTTTACATCAATATTACTAGAATGGACAGCTGCCTTAGTGCAACATTTTTTAATAGTGTATCATTTACATTGGGCATTATATTACATATTTGTTTTTTATATTGAAATAAGAGAATCTTATTTCAATAATTATTAAATAAGTAAGTTTGAATTAATTGATTTTGATGATGATTATTATTTTTAAAAAACCCTAAAAAAGTAATTGGCATTGATCATTTGCTATTTATGAATAGAGAAACAAATGAAGAATTATGAATATATATATATTTAAAAAACATGAAGTAATAAAATATTGCAGTCAATTCTAATCTATGAAAATTGTGTTCTATTTTCAAAGTTGAAAGAGGTTGAGGTATAAAAGTAATGTCAGACTACTTTTTCTCAGAAATTTTACTATAACAATGCATTTTATATCAATTAGTCTTCAGTCATTAATAAACACACTGTTATTTATCTGCAAAGTCACCATCATTTTCTAAGCACTAGTCACATGCTGCATTACAAGCCTATAAAAATCCATTATCTCTCTCTTTAGAGCTTTGCAAACACTGTGCTTGTGCTGTTTCTTATTCATGAAATAGATTCCGTGTAGTGTTTCTTTTAATAGTCCAAAAGAGCAATAGTTGGAAGGTGCAATATCTGGACTGTAGGAAGGTTAAAAAGAATAGTTCATTCCAGTTTTGCAATAACCTCTCTTGGGCACAGATTAGAATGGAGTTATGCATTATCATGGTGCAGAAAACTTCATTAAGGTTTTTGTCTGGTTGAATTCTACAGATGCAGGCTTTCAACCTTTAAAATATTTTCACATATAGATCTGAGTTGACTGTGGTGTCTTCATAAAGTTTACAAGTAAGACTCATGCTGGTCTCTGATCACAGTCACCATGACTTTATCAACAGAAGCCCATGTCTTGAACTTCTTGGACAGTGAATTTCAAATGGTGCCACTCCATTCACTGTCTCTTTATTTTAGGTGCATAATGGTAGATTTAAATTGGTTATCAGAAGAGATCTTCCTGTACTTACTTCATCACACAATTCAACAGTTGTGATGTAACTATAAATCGAACTCTGTCAATTAATTAAATTCTATCAAAAAGGACTTAAAGATCTATATTCACAAAGGGCAACATCTTTACATATTCCAAGGCTTTATTGTCTGTTTTTAGAGAATCATCCAAATATAACAATTTGCTTATAGCTTACAAACAGAGTATCATGATTTAAGAAATTATAATGATTTATTCCCTAATAATAGGGAAAATATATATATATATATATATATATACATATATATGTATAATTATTATTTTTAATGTGGATTTAGGCTATGTTGCATATATGAGACCTTTTCTTGAAAGATTACAAGAACAATGTATGATATGTATATGGGCAAAAAGAGAAAGAGCACTGCACTGATGCTGTTTGCAAAGATGGATGATCCAAGATACATAGGAAGGAAACTAAGGTTATCAGGGATGTAAGTTATCCAATCTACATGAATATTGTTGAGTGAAGTGGAATGTATAGATATAGACACAACCAATGATTGTCTGAATGATTGGGCTAGAATTTGGCTAATTAAATGATTAGCCAAATTCTAACCCAATCATTCAGATTTTATTCAGCTGAGAGAGATAAAGATGTTAAAAAGTTTCATAATCAAAGAACTTCAAAAATTTCTTAAACAGATCAGAAATTATTTTTGTTTTAGATTTGAATACAATTATGCAACTCAGTTATGTACAAAAACTGTTTTTATTACTTTATATAATTTTTTTTTTTTTTTGTGAGCAGTTATTTTTATTATTAAGAATATATAATTATTCATGAATACTTTCAGGAATGGACTCCTGATGAATGTATCCCAGAATTTTATTGTGATGCCACCTTATTTTATTCTATTCATCCTGATTTACCCGATTTGGCAGTTCCATGGTGGTGTAGTGGACCAGAGGATTTTATTAGAAAACACAGGATTGCATTGGAAAGTGATTATATTTCAGAACGTCTTCATCATTGGATTGATTTAACATTTGGATATAAGGTTAATAATTTTACAGTATTAACATAGCATGTGTTATTTTACAGATTTATTATTTTTTAGAATGTCATAAAATTGATCATATATTTCTTTATTTATTTAATTTATATGCTGTAATTAAATGTGACACAATTTTTATTATACTGTATTTAATTATTTAATTTAATTATTAAATAGTGTCATTATTTTAGCTTAATGTAATCTGGCAATTTTTTGGCATTGATCAAAAAATCAGTTTAATGGATGTTTATATTTGTAGGTTTTTTAACAATTTCATTGTCAGTTTTAGACTGAAAAGATAGTTATCTAAATATTTATAATTGAAAAGCAGTGTTTAGGTTCATTTTAAACTTAAAATATTATATTTTATATTGAAAAAATTTCAATATGATGATCTAAATTTTTTTAAGTCTAAAATTTTTTTGGCTTTTTTTTAGTAACTTACATCACANTTTCGGCTACAGGTCGTTAAACCTGCTCACTTGTCAAGATGGCTAAAGTTCGAATGCAGTCCCAGGGGGTCAGGATTCTTTTTGTCAGGTCGAGTGGAGGAGGTGAAAGGGGCTGTCGATGAGACGTAGGCGATATGCGAGTAAATGACACCATTTAACAATGGAAACAACAGTTTATTAGATTAATGAAAAAATTAACAATTACAAAATCTAACATATTGAGAAATGAATTTAGTTCGCTAGCTCCTAACTCGCGGAGAGAGAGTTTACATTTTTTTGCTCCATACCTCTAGTATAATTCAACGTAGACGTTAGGTTTATGCCCTTATTCTTCCAATTGATGCACAAAGTTAAAATTCTCCACGACTTAATCCTTTCTGCCCAGCCGTAGATGAGAGACTCCCCCAAGGAGGGGGAAGAAGTCGCTTTTATAGCTTTGGGCTGGGGAGAGTAGTCATGTGATCCCCCATTGTGAGAGGTAGAGTTGGTCCTGCAGGTATGGAGGTTAAAGTTGTTCCCGGGACCAAAACAAAATGACGAATTTGGACTTTAACTATAAACTTTTTGTCTTGCAACAGAGGAATGTCATTGTTCGAGGGTTGAATGTTTATATTAACGAGGAAAGTTATAAGTTAATATTGATATTTGATTTTTTTTTCTGACAATGTTATTTTAACGAGGCGGCGACAAATTTATTTCACATACGTTGAAAATTTAGGGGGAAAAATTAACATTTTTGGGCTTACTCTGAGGTCGGATCTCACAAATGTAAATGTATTATTTCATCATTTCAAAAAATAGGATGATGTTTTAAACTCAAATTGCAACTTTATGTAAATTTTACATAAATTTAAAAATTATAATTTTGAGAATTTCTAATTTTCCTAGAGCTTAAACATTTTATACAAAAATAATTTCAATAATGTAGTATTGGCATTATTATCATTTTAGTTGTTCTTTTTTGTAATATAAAAAATGAATAAAGTACATTTCTTTTATACAATTTTTTACATTTTTAAAATAAGAAAATTAGTCATGAAAAATTCTCTTTATAGTTAAAATTTTAATATACTTTTTATTGTGAAAGTTAAAGTACTAATTAAAAAGTAAGCAAAGAAAACTGATTCTAGACAAGGTTGAAATTTGAAAAATTATATTTTTTTTTATGTTTTCCTTGTTGTATTAATTTGTTTAGACATGTATGAGTTTGATTCTATGTAAGTTGATTCTCAAACATTCAGTACTTAAAATAATTTTCTAAATTATTGAATTATCTGATAATAGCAAATATTTTGTTTTAGTAACAAAAATATTTAATTTTAATGTTGGTGGTAAAACATTTCTTAATTATTTTTTTTATAGATGCTTTCAAGAAGCTTTGAAATTACTACTACAAATTGATTTTTCAAATAAAGAAGCAAATGGAAAAGTTTTGCTTCCTTCTCAATATCCACCTGTAACTTTTAGAGGATTACCTCCTCCATCTGCTCATCAATTACTTCAACCACTAATTCATATTCTCCCATTTCCTTCATATTTTCCAGAACTTTATAGCTTTATTCAACAAATGAACCATTATTCTGTTTGTCTAGAAGACATAAAAAATAATTTTATTTTAGAAAATAAACATGATAAAATTAATAATTTAGTAATGGCAAAAATTAATCTTGCAATGAATACTTTACCTTCTTTATTAAATAAACTAAATGCAGAAGGACTTGATTTATTAACTCCATATCTTCAAGACCTTTTTGAATGTCCTGATACAGCTTTACTTGCAGCGTGGCATTTGTTTAATATAGTAGCACAAGCACTGGGCCCACAACAAACTGTTCGAAAACTATTAGTTACAATTATTCATTTATTTGATCCTGAAGTGCCTTCACCAAAACACTTAAAATTGTATCATCGTTCTTATTTACTACAATTGATGGTTAGGCTTGGACTCCTTACATTTCTTGCACATTTCATGACTTTAATTATAGAAGCAACTGGTGGATTTAGAGATTTTTCATCAAATCATAGTCCAAGGTAAAAATTTTTGTTTATTTTATATATTTAGTTTTAGTTTTTATATTTATTAAGTTTATTATTTAAAACTAGAAAACTATTTATTTATTTATTTAAGCATACTGGTACAACCATGAAACGGGGAGAAATAATACAAAATTATACAAAATCATACATATCCATTAACACAAAACATAAAAATACATATAACTTATAAATAAAATACAAAGGTGAATTCAAACTTAAACTAAATGTAGGAGAACTATCCAAAGAGAGAAAAAAAATTACAATGAAAAAAACTACACTGTAACTTATCTAGAAAGCAAAAAGAAAGAATCAGATTAGTCTCTTGTCCACAAAGTAGATAGTCTCCCAAATAACCAAAACTAACTGCTGGTTAAATAAGCTACAAACCATGTCCCAGAATGCAATTAACATAAAACCATCAACAACTTTTACACTATGAATGTATAAGAAAAATAAACCACATTACAACAAAGCAAACATCATAAAATAAACAATTTAACCTTTTTAATAAAAGTAAATACCTTGAAAAAAGAATCAGAATCACAGATTACTTTCACAAAACTATTAAATGAAAAGGAAGTAACACCAAAAATCTCCTAATATAATTTTGAGTAAAAAGCATGAACTGTTATTACGTGATATGCATCTAATGATGAATCAACCATACCACACACACAAATGTCCTTTCTGTAATTACATAAAAACGCAATGAATTACACTTAACTTGCATTAATATTGTCATGGCATTACAAGAAAGATTATTGTTATAAAACAAAGCAGCCAAAAAAAGATTTATTCAAATGTTTATACCATCGGAAATAGGTACTTGATAATATGCCATTATTCAGATTTGAGATAAAATTATCAAAATGATTTAACTTTATTAAATAAATTCCATTTACATTTTTAAATAAATTCTCAAAATCAATTTCATTACTTCTATAGTTTGTAGACAGATACTTAGTCCAGTTAGATTAGTCCAGGGCAGCTTTACTCATTTCCAAATGAACCACAAACAAATCTTGCTAAGGCACTCTTCTCCCAAGCTCAATGTTCTAAAAACCAGTTAATACATTTGCTCAAGATCGTGCAAGACAGTGGAACTAATAAACACCATATATACTAAATATCGAGGAGTTAATCGTGGGATCCATACAACCCCTAAGCAAATCTACATCCAAAATCTCTATTTGAAACCCCAAACTTTGGAGGCATAGAGAAGAGAAGAACCTACAACTGCATTAAATAATTTTAACTGATCCTCAAATTATGCAATTTTGCAGACTTACACATTTGTATAACTTTTTCTAACTTTATCTCAGCGTTAACTCTACAAGCCCTCACATGAGTATTAAAATTACTATTATGTTTAAAGGTCACATCCAAATATATTCTGAAACAACCAAAATTGGATCATCCCTAAACCACCATTTATCAAACTTTGAGCCCTTACCGTTATTTCAAAAAACAACAATTTTAGATTTTGTAAGATTTAATTGCAGATTGTTACACATTAACCTTTCAACAGGGGGATAGTCAGGTATGGTGCTACCACAAAGTAGTGGAGAATAAACGTGGGAAATTTTTAAAGTATTTTTCCATGCGTTTTTTTCTCATTACTGTTTTGGAAAAAGATTTTGTAAACAGCTATGTCTAGGAAAGAAAAATTTTTTTTATAATTGTTACATAATTCATTTTTTATGTGAATTTTTTTTGGCGATACCCCAAAAGAATTTAACGGATATATCCATCCCTCACTCTTGAATGGTTAAATATTTATCCAAAAGGTTAGTTGATGCCTACAATGACCTCACAGAATTAGCCACAATTACCACATTGTCTGCATACACTAATATCCTTACATTGACACTGTCTACATCAATGCTTTCCATCTCAGAATCATTAATACAATTCAATAAATCATTTAAAAATAATCTAAAAAGAATGGGCTCAAAATGCATTCCTGTCTAACATCCTTATCTGGAAAGAAAGGCTGGAAACAGCAATTTCTCTGTTTAATACTAACGTTTAAACCACAATATAACACAAATTTAAAACAATCTGTAATTTAATAATTTCCTCCATAATAAATTCCTTGTATCAAATGCTGTTGCTAAATCTACAAAAAATGCATATACTTTATGCCATTTCCTCCTTAATGTCAGAAATAATTGTATGTAATATGAAGATATTATCAATGGTTGAATAACCTGCATGAAAATCAGCCTGATTCTCTGGCAGTATCTCTCACATTCAACCAGCTTATTAATCTATAATACAAAAATTTTTGAAACACAACACAACAATGAAATACCTCTGTAATTTGTAGGAACCAACTTTGAACCACCTTTATAAACTGGAACCAACAACAAACTCTTCCATTCTACTGGGATAGCACCAGTTCTCAACATCTTATTAAAATTTTATAATAAAAAAGAAAAAGCAGTTTCAATTTTCCAAAAATCTGTGGGTATACCATCCATTCCTGGGGACTACCAACTCTCAACTTACTTAAAGCATATCTCAGTTCCTGCTCTGAAATATCCAAGTCCTGTGTTTTATCCAACCAGATCAAACATCTATTAAAAACACTTAAATCAACTTTATATGTTCTTTCAGAACCATAAAGGGAAAGGAAATAACTAAACCATCATGTAAATTAATATTTACACTAACCAAATTTCTACAAATTCCAAAATCACCTACTCTTTCTGTAAAAGTTTCCAGAATTCTGTATAATCCACACATGTAAATGTCCCTTCTGGAAAGTGAAAAAGAAAGAATCAGATTAGTCTCTTATCTACAAATTGGATAGTTCCCCAAACTAGAGAACTAAACATTGGTGGTTCAAATCCATCACTTTTTTATTTATTGATTATTTTGCTATGTCTATATTTTTTTTAACAATTTGATTACTCATTAAATATTAATAAGTAATCGAATTATGTTAATAGGACATTTCCTATGTTTTGGAATTTTTAAGGTTTTTTTATAGCACTTAAGTATTTACCCAACAAAAAGTTGTGGTTGCCCATTGTTTTAACTCCAACATAGTATGTTTAACCAATTAAATTATTTATGAGGATATTCCATGAATTTTTTATTATGCATATTTGTATAAAATTTCTTTGAAAGAACTAGCAAAAGTATTTTAATCATATATTTCTATATCAATTTAAAAAATGAAAGATGGAACTTTATGTTGAATATAGTACATACATGTAAAATTTGAAATTTTAATTATATTGTTAATATTTAATAGATAATTTTATGATATGCTACAGAATCTTTACACTTCAGTGTTACTGTCATTCAATTTTATTTGCTTATTAAATTTAATTATTTTACATTTTTAGTATATTTAATAATTATTTTGTTCAATACAATTATTTTTAGTGCTGCACATACAGATACGTCCGATTCCACTATAAGAAAAGGTTCTCATTTACACTCTCCAGAATTAGAACAATTGGTACATGATGTTGAAATTGATGATAGTTCATGTCTTCCTGAAACTGTTTCTTCTCCTTATGATGATGATTCTTCACAAACAGATCTTTTAAGTAATCGTAGTGGAAAGAATAGTGGTAATGGAACTGATGGAGAACCAGAAATCTTTATATTAGAAACTGCTGGAGATGATGATGATGACAGTGAATTAATAAGGAACGAAGAAAATAAGGTTAGAAAA